TATATATATATATATATAGCTATTCTTATCCTACTTATATATATATACTTTTATATATATATATATATATAGCTATTCTTATCCTCTACGCAACAAAGGTCCTTTTACAAAAATAATAACAGCCGATTGCAAGTCAATTTGATACGTAGAAAACAATGCAGAGAATAACTTTTAGATACGAAAGGAAACTATATATTTTCGTCCTTTTTATGCAAGAGTCAGAATTTGAGAACAAACTTTCAAACCGTTTATTTGACCGGATGTTGGTACATTTAGTGTTAAAGGAGAATGTCGAGACTTTGGAGTACCTTTGGGAGACTTTTTGGTGTTGGTCTCCGGTTTACACCTTTTGGTCAGTCGGCGCGTCTTCTCGCAGGAGGCATCGCTGTTCGCTTTCAGATTGTCCATTCTCGTCATCAGCTGGTTCACGCATCCGCTCCACGTGCCCTTCTCGTATCGGCAGGCTGCACATTCCCCACCGCAACAGAGATAATCATACCGTTATGAACTCCATTATCATTGGCAAGTTAGGGCGGCAACGGTGCATATCTCGTGTTACAAAACGACACTGATTCTCTTTCTCATTTTGTTATCAATGGCCAATTTACTTCATTCCTACAGCGAAATACTTCTACTAAATACCTCATGCATTTTTGCTCCGGATACTTTTTAAGAAATAATAGCTCTTTATTATCTGTGCTTCTCGAACGAAATGTTTCGAAACAAGCGCGAAATGATCGAAATCGGTTGGTCATTGTTACTTTAGTACATTTGTACAGCTGAACCATCATCGTAGATAGATCATCACCTGATTTAGAAACCACCGCCAGTCGTGGGAGTTTATTTTAATCTAGTTATTGTCTATGTTGCCGTGGCAGCAGATTAGATTCTAAATGTCACGAATGTTTAATTCGATTGAAAAGACGCGGAGGGAGCCGCGTCCATTAAATTAAAAAGTTCCACGTCGCGGTTTATGCATGTATGTACGTTGAACGTGACCAATCCGCATTTAATGGTACTTTTAATCAGAATATGGTGCTTTCCCTATCATTCTTTACTTTCGTTTGTTTTACCACAAGCACAACGACTCGCAAAACTATTCGAACATTTATAGAAATTCAATTCTCGTGAATGTGCAATTTCGTTCATTTTGAAGCAGAGAAGATAATCAGCGGCAAACACTTTTGTCATGCGGCCATTTTGTCATGCATTTTATCATGCGAGTTGTGCACCGTTGGCCCGAAATCATCGATAAACTAGAATGCTTATCCTTCTTCATTCAATTAATTAAGATGTCCCTGGGTTTCTCGTTAATTAGTCAGATCCATTAACTCCCGTTTTACGTAAAGAAACTATCCAACCTCGTTCGCTTATTATTAATTGAGGATTAAACTGTATATTAATTAGCGAAAGACACGTCCTGCCCGCTGTTTATAATCAATAAAATAGTAACGCTTAAATATCAAATTTGTCGAACAGTCTTTGTCACGGTCATTTATTACACATACCTAAAACACGGGAGCAGGAGTGTTGATCTTTTTCGACGTAATAAGAGTGATAAAAATAATTCTGACTATATATAATATATTTTATGAAGGAAACAATTTACAAGAAATCCTTTCTCGAATGAAGGAACGTAATGATTAGTATTGTCATTTCAACTGATTATAACTTTGTAATTTTTTCAATTCACTCGATCGTCGGTTTCTATAGGAAATTTAAAAAATGTGAGGATACACATAGAAATATTTAAAACGGGGGGAGGAATCTCCAATTAGATTCTATTTTCTATTTGTCTTTCGTTTCTTTGTGTGTGTTCATAAAGATATAGATATCCACGGTCTGCTAGTCAAATAAACTTTAAAAAAAATGATCGAGAAGAGTTTGAACAAAAGATGTCCAAAGATGACCTTTTTTACACTTCTTCTGGATGGTCTTGGTCTGCTCGCAGGACTTGTCGCCCTTCTTCAGGTTCAGCGTGCGGGACCGCGTGTTGGTTTTCGAGTCGCATTCCGACCATTGACCCTTCACGTATCTGCACGACGAAGTGCTGCCGGATGCTGCGTCAACAGATGCAAAATACGTCAATAGAGATAATTGAAGACACGATCAAGTGGACAGAGAAATTTCCGAACGAAACACGGCACGGCCCTTAATTACCACGCAACAGTTTGCCACTTTTCTCAACATTGATCATTCAATACATTCGTAAACTAGAAGAAACATTAGTATCCACGTGTTAATTGTCTCCATTAATTATTAAACCAGAACCAAACAACAATATAAAACCAACTGTGTGATACAGTTGTTTTTTTTTTTCCGGCGGCTCTGTGCATAACAAGCAGGAGACTCGAAATCAACGGGTTTGAAGACGAAGAGGAATAGAAGACGGGCAAGTAGAAAGTTGCCACGACCTGTAATTCAACGTGAACCTCCAAGTTGGAATTTCAGCGGCGGCCTTCTTTCGGCGACTTGTCCCGTTCTGAAAAGGAGCTCGAAGAAAAGCACTCTCCCCTCTTCGGTGGCCTTCCGGAAGCACGATCCTGGACCGAATAAATTTCTAAGACCAAATGATCTTAGTTGACAATGAAACGGTGCGCGCCACTGGATGATATTTCAATTGTATTCCCAGTGCTGGCCGCGGGAGAGGAAGCCTCTCCGAAAGATGAGAGAAAGAGCCGCGCTGAGACAAAAGAAGCTTTTCATTCTCCATAAGCCAGGGCTCGCGATACCACGTTTCAATCCGCGCCCGAGCACCGTCTTTCCTTGATATACTGATATATATACGTTCGATCGACCTCGCCAATGTGTCACGTTATCTTTTCTCTCTCTCTC